ACATACCTGTACAAAAGTTTGTTCCAATTATTATTGTAAAAATAAAAAACTTAATGAATAAATGACATAAAAGTGATTTTATTGTTTTTATACATGTTCTCTATGGGAGTATTTTGTTTAAGATGGCAGATTCCAGCCCATCTTGCGAGAATGTCTGTATCGGAACGACCATCCACTATTGGCGATCTCGTTTAAGAATTCAACAATTGAAGTATGAATATAAGTGTTATTTTCGTATTTCCCACATACCATTTTATTGCATTTAGTTGTGAAACATTTCAAATTAAGGCTGGTTTCATGATCAGACTAACCGTCAGCCGCCGATTGTGGGCTAGCGTTACGAAGTCTAGTTTTTGCAGCATTTCAATAAGTAATCATCTTTTCGTCCATACGCAACGATAATGGTATACAGTTTTGTCTAGTAAGCATTGTCATCGATATACAATCAATGGTATCACGCGTACAAATAGCATTATCATTTCATAAATCAGTACTTTTAGTTTATTTGTTACAATATAACAAGACTTTCACTTCTCTTCACGACATATGGTGCAAACATATCTTTCCTCTTTATAATATGAGTATATTGGATATTGGAAAAAAATAAAAGAGTAAATATTCAAAATCTAATTTAATTTATAACCTACAGAAACCTCGACCTCCGCCCGCCCGACTGTAATTGCAATTTCTTGAATAAGTAGCTTTTAAGATAAGCGTTACTTATCTTTTTTTTTTAGTTTGAAGTAAGTTTTTATCAAATGGTTTTTTAAGACACATTCTTTTCTTCTATTTAAATATTCAAACGTCTTTTAATGACAACTTCAATTATTCATTCACCATATTAATTTAATACATTAGCATTTAGTAATTTTGTTATTTCACAGTCCAACCAAACCAAAGTATACATAAAGATTAACTATAAAACCTACAGGGGGCAGCACACTTCCCTCATGGCTCAGTGATCACGGTGCGATGCGTACACTTCGGCCTATACAAGTTGAAGGGGGACAGCACGATGCGCTGCGAGAACGGGGAGTGGATGCCGAAACTGCCGGAGTGCGTGCCCACCACTGTTGTCACAAATTTTACAGGTTGGTATTATCAAGGAATAATCCAGAAGCGAAACTAAGAAAAAACGGACGAAATCATGTGCACACGCATTTACATGAATTCTCTGGGTTGCGAGGTGAGCTCAGTTGCGCTTGTCACGGCGAGACTGCTAGACGTGCGGGGAGTGAGCGATCTCAATAAAAATGACACAAAAATATTGTGTAGTGTACGGATGTTTAAATTCGACGTAAAATTTATTAATTGCATCACAGGATGAGTTTATACAATACGTCGGGAAGATGGGCGCCATTTTTCGCAGTTGTCTTAGTAAAGAAAACAATAACTGTAAAATAGCGGAATTAATAAAAAAGAAGTAGATGAGATCCCCTTTCAGGCCCCTTGTCCATGTTACCCGATAGTATATGTAAGAATAAGGATTTCTTTATACCATAAAATTCAATAATAAAGCGTTTAAAACTTGTAGTAACAGACGATAATACTTTTCAGTGTGTAACATATCACAAAGTCTTCTAAAAATAATATGAAACATACAGTCCATTTTTTATAACCCACGCCTAGGGTTCCATCCATTTCAATAAATTTCTAGAATAGATTTTTATTTATTCTATTTCCGCTCCAGGAATGCTGGTATAGGCGCCAGCAACATGCATGGAATATTTTTACGCGTATATATAAGTATCATTCATATAATAAGTAAAAACCTACAAATAAATTGAATTATTCAAATTACCAGCGAAGACGCCAACGTAACACCCCTTTTAAACTAATATCGTTTTATGAACGCATAAGGTTTAACTCCATGTTCTGATATGAGTAAGAGGAGCGTGACGTCACGCGCTGTTTGCATTCACGTGACAACGAGTATAAAAATTTTGATTTTTCAAAATTAAGCAATATTATAAAATAAAATAAACGTCAAAGTGTAATTATCGGTAATAGTCAGTGGTCGGAATTAGGTAGAGTTATTCATGTACTTACACTGATTTCATACAGCGAAAGAATAAAGTGGATATGCCTCAAATCCCGAGATTAATTTTAAAAAGTAGAAAAAATCCCGTGATTTTTTAAATAAAAAGTTATTTACTTTTACACAATTTAAACTACTGCACGCACGACGTTGCCAAACTTACATCAATGAAAGAAAGAAATAAAGAAATCCCGGGAAGGTCCACATTAACATCAACATTTCGATGCCAGTACATAAATAACTCTACCTAATTCCGACCTCTGGTAATAGTATATTGGACACAACCAGAAAAACAGTAGGTATTTATTTTCGTTTATTGGCTACATCCGTATTCGTCAGTTGTATTTGAAATTCCTCCGTTATTTAATGGTAAAATGAATGTTGATTGCTGGCACGTAGGTGACGCCCCGCCCACTATCCAGTACTCCATAATAAGTGGTTCGGCGGTGGTGCAGCCGTCTGGGGAACTGTTTGTGTACCCGGAGAGTTCCGTGAGACTGTCATGTATCACTCCACGGTCACTGGGGGACCCCGACTGGTCCTGGACGTCAGCTTTAGGGAATCATGTAGCAGGCGAGTGGATGTTAATGTATTTTTATTTTATAGTAATGAAAGACGCTATTTATTCCCCTTTCCAAACTTAGTGCTTAGTCCGAACGATAATGGGATCAAGTCAATTTTTAAAGCATTTTTCATATTAAGATTTTATTTTGTTAAGTAATTAAAAATTTACAGTGCAGATAATATAACGTTTTCCTTTGAGTGGTGTGAGTAATGCGTATGGGATTATTTGTATCATTATAATTTGGTACATACTGTAGAGTGGTCCAGTGAGGAGGGAGAGAGACAGACTCACTACAGTCTCACTCTGGCCAAGATGTCCGCGCGTCACAGCGACCAGTACACGTGCACCGCGCCCGGCTCGCACACCAACACTGTGCTCGTTAAAGTTGTTAGTGAGTTTGTTACCACACATTGTATCTATATATAAGGTGTAATATTATTAACTATTGGAGGAATACTCTGTTCATTAAAAAATAATCAGATGTTTCATACTGTCAACTATTGTAGGTATTACCATTTTTGTAGGAAAAAGTCTGTAAGAATGTATGGGTGTTTGTTATTACTTTTTCACTCAAAAACTACTGAACGAATGTTGATGTTTGGTAAGCCTGAACATACAGGCTACTTATACCACTAAATGGTTCTAGCGCTAGCGGAAAGCTACTCTAATATAAAATATTCTTGTGACACAGATTTAGTAACCATAATCCTTCGAAGTGGCTTGACCGATTTTGATGAAATTTCATATCAGTAGGTCTGAGATTTGGTAGATATATATAATTTATAATCCTTAGTTACTTAGGTATATAGATAAATAAATGTGGTTCATCCCAATTTATATGGCAAAACGACGTTTACCAGGTCAGCCGGTTAGCCTCTCAATTGTTTTGGAAAAGGTATTTTCAAACTTCATATGATCATATTGTTAATCTCCAAAAAGTATTATTAAATAAAGGAAAAATATATTTTCATTAATTAATTTAAGTGACGTGACTTTTTAAGCAGTGACGTCACAATTCAATAAACGTGAGTACTGGCTAAAGTTTAGTTTGTCAGTTCAATAACTATAATTTATTAGTTAATGACGTCATAAATCGAGTTATCTTAAGTGTAATTTATATATTTAAAAGAGAAATATAGATTTAAGAGTTTGACAGTGATATTGTTGTAGATGTGTCGTGTCCACCGCTGACGGTGTCGCCTCGTGTGAGACAGTTCGCTCAGGGGCTGCGTCTCGGTCACACGGCACACTTCAGCTGTCAGCCGGGATACCACCTGGACGGGCCGGCCGTCATCACGTGCATGGGAGACGGTGAGTCTCTCATACAAACATATATACGTCGGAACATCAGGCGGGACCGGTGGAAAGTTAGGTTGGTCATCATCCGCCATCTGACTAGTGTTCGAGATATTCTTTCGAAATAAGATCGCAGATAAATCACAAATCAGTTATTTAATTGAAATAATTAGTTGTCTAATCGGAGTACATTAATAAAAACGTGATGCAAACGGATTGCGATACGAAACGCGGAGAGTTCTGCGCTTGCGTCCGCTCAATATGGCCGCACAACGTAAAGTCCATCTTCGAACAAGCATAGACCACTCCCAAGCGATGACAGCCGTCAATGTCATAATTTGACGTTTCGCAAAGCACCATAGATCTTGACAGATGACAGCTGCAGGTGGCAGGTGGCGTTTTGCACAATCGAAGCGCCTTCTCGCCGACATATACAATTCTAACTTGGGTTCTTATTTAGGTATGGAATATATTAAACAGAAACATGTATTTTAATACTGAATTCTCAAATGTTTATTGCAAACCATAGTGTTACATAGATGTTACAACATAATAGAATCAAATTGTGAACCCCTTCGGGCACAGCAACACTTTAAAGAGAGGAGGACTTTATATTCAAAAATACAATAACTAGTCTGGCAATTTAATAATCATAACTATATAATATACATATAAATAAAGTAAAACAATTTTATAAATTTAATATAATCGAGATCTTGATTGATGTTTTTTTTATTTTATTTGTTTATACCGTATTTATGAATCTACATCGATAGTTTGTAGTGGTTACTAGATTTCGAATTCACTATCCAACATATTACTTTCAGGAATAAAATCCTGGAGTTTCCAATATTGCACACAATTAAAAATACATACACAGATGTGTTCAAATATCAGGAAACATTTTGTTTTCGCAACTAACTTTGACTATGGCACGGTGTTTTTCTCCCTGTTCTCTCTGTTGAGCGATCGGGTTATATCTCATTGTGTTCTTCGATGATAGATTAAGGACGACGCGTAAAAAACTATTTTATATAACCTCCCGAAAACGAAAATGATTATTTTAAAATACTGCATATTTCCTTCAAATAAATGAACAACATGAAATTGAAGACAACAGAGATTTTTGAATTGAGTGAATTCCCAGTTGGCACAAGTTTGTACAACTTCTGTAGTAATAGTTTCTACACTTCAGCAGAGTTACATGAAACCTTAATTAAAGTTATACACCTTATCCAGAAAATAAAAATATTTTCTCAACTACTAACTGGGTTACTGCACGGAAACGATTTGTTATGATCACAAAGGTCGGTGGTCGTCGTCGTACCCGTCGTGCGTGGAGACGTCGTGCCCCCCGCTGAAGTCAGTGGGCCCCCACCTGTCCGTGGTGGAGTATAACTCGTCGTGTGGGGGCCGCGCGGTATTCCAGTGCGCGTGGGGGTACCGACTGGTGGGGGCGCCGGGACTCGAGTGCGAGCTCGACGGGAACTGGTCCGGGGAGACCCCGCACTGTGCACGTGAGTTGTAATCTCGCCCTCACCGACCATGCCGGCAGCCCTTAGGTAACGACGACGCGGGCTGTGGGCGATAGATCTTAAGATATCTAAGTAAAATCTTTTGACCCCGTATACATATCAGATCCAATTCTTATCAAGAGCAAATATTTTAGGTAAAGTTGGGCACCGTTAATCTAATAATTAACTTCGTTATTCAAATAATTAATTTCGTTAATCGCTCATCCGTTACTAAAAACGTTAACTTCGTTATACGTTAAAGCGTTACATTTCGAAAGATTTAACGCAAGTTAACGTTAATTGTTAATCCGTTAACACAGTATAAAAAATGCATTTTTTATCATGTCCTCATGATAATGATATACTCATAAGAACTGTTGGTTTGCGTTCTGGACGTTAACAGGTTAATAACAAAAACTCAAGGTGTATAATTCAAGTGTGTGATTTAAACATCTGTCATGATGTGAACATTGCCCTTCATAAGCATTAATTTGTTGAAGTTCTTGTCTGATAGCGAAGCTCGTTTCGGCGTTAAAATATCTTTTCCGGTGTAAAAAGACGTTCAACTGCAGAGCTTGAGGGAATAGCACTATTTTATTTAACAGATTTATAAAAATCTGTTCTCCAAGGAATGCTGCATCGTTGAAAGCATCGATTGATCTTATGTCAAGCCATATTTTGATGAGATTTTGAGCTTTACTTTTTAAAGAGCTGTGACTCTTAGGTTTTTCTTTAGACTGAGTGACAGAATTGAAAAAGTCTTCTTCCTCATCATCGTCGTCGTGGCAAGGTGCTTGGGTAAATAGTAGGTACTGGATTAACGATGAACGGATTTAGTGTAAGTTAACGGAAGTTAATGAGTCCGTTAACATTTTTCAAGTTAACTTAAAAGTTGATCCGTTAGTCGAAATGTTAACTTCGTTAATTAACGATTAACGAGTTAGTGCCCAGCTGTGATTTTAGGTAATCATAAATAATAAAAAAGATATATAAGTGAAATTAATGTTTCATATGTATTGAATGACGGATCAACGCACAGCCTAATATCAAATTATAATAAATTAAAAAATAATAAAGAAGCTTTTTTTATTAAATGCTCTAAATACTAAAAAATAAAGGCCAACGACAGCTTTGATATCTTGAGATTAAGCACGACCCGTCTTTGAATATTCCTTCTCATGTGCGTCTGACAGGCCGCCGTGAGCGACGATGGAGAAATGACAAAAATATTCACATGGGCGTATTTAATGATTCTTGATTCCTTTTTCTCCAAAAAAGTGTTATTAAAGCCCACTTGTGTCTTCGCTTGCTTACGTCCCTATACAGAAACGCATCGAGAGTACAGACGGCCTCACTTGATTTCACACATTTTTAAACACAGAAAAAAATATTGTAATTTTTCTAGATTATATCAAAACCTATTTTAATATAGTTACGATGGTAATATATTAGTCATCATTTTACACTATAAAGTCGAATTTATAGTTTTGTATAAAGTCCGTATAATGGGGTAGTTTCGGTAGTGAAAAATAAGCCACGAAATCGCACAAAAACATAGAGATTCTCATTTTTAGTCTAAAACTTGAAGTAACTTGAAACACGACCCGCCATTGTGTGATGCCATTGTGGCGATGGCTGTAAGATTACTCATAAAGATTTGCCTATCAATTATAAATCAAATTCCTAGATGGCACTGTTTTTGTTTTATTGACATCTTTTAATCTTCTACTCTATGCATTTGTTGTGTACATATCACAATGACGTTATTAATATGACGGACGTTTTCGCGGGTACAAAAAATAGTTTTAATTTTAAAGCAATAAAACGTGTTTGTTTTTCTGAAACAGTGGCGGACTAAGGGGGCGTTTCCCCCGGGCCTCCGGTTTTGAGGGGCTGCAAAGCTCTTGATCACTTTATTATTTCGGGTTGGAGGACCCGGAATAAGTTCAGCATGTAGCGGCGTGGGGAGGGTGGGGGTGCTTTCCGCTCCGCGCTATCAATGGGGATTAGTCCGCCACTGTTCCGAAATATTATATCAAACACAATGGAATATCCTATTCCAAATGTAAAATCAACTCGGCTCTTGTTATTTCACAGCGATATACTGTCCCGAACCTCTGGTGCCTGAACACGGTCGTCTACTGACCGTCCCCAAGCACGGTCAGCACACGGTAGGCGACCTGGTCAGCTTTACGTGTGACGATATGTTCCATCTGGCCGGCGAGGCGTCCATTGTGTGCACCGAAACGGGATTCTGGTCCCACCCACCCCCCTTCTGTGGTCCCGTCGAACAAACAGGCGTCGATACCATATACGTTGAGAATTCAACTCTAGTGCATCTAGATGATTAAGTCGGTTATTGTACGTGGTTTAGACTGTGCCACGGTTAGAAAGAGAGAAAAGATCACGCTACCTATAGATAGAGGGAGCATGACATCTTACATATAGTAATGAACACAATATTCTTACATAGCGTAGGAGGTGAAAAACGGCCAAAAAGAATCTTTATAAATGAGTGTTTTTTTACTGTTAATGCTTCAGTAGAGAGTAGAGCTACTGCAAACTTCTCTCCCTTTCTAATTGCGTCAAGTTACGCGTGGCTGTATATTTCTTTACCCACCCACCCCCTAGTTAAAAAAAATATAATAGAATTGTATGTTAATTAAAAACATAAAAGCTGTGTTTTTTTTTTCAAATTGATAATAAACTTGTGTTAACATACTTTGTTCGATAAGACTGTTTATTTTTTTTTATACTAAATAAAATGTTTGATATGCATTTAATCTATGTAATCGAAATAATATATCTAAGAAAAACTACGAATAATATTTTTAAACTACGTAATGTTTATTATAAAATTATCTGCCATAACATAATGAAAGTATTGTTTAGGTTAGAAGTCCTACAAATGTTTTATATGTAAACTTTATCATAAGATTTTACCTTTTAATAAGACACCAGAGTTATTATTAGTTTATAAGAATTATAGTCGTACTGCCTTTAAAATATATGTTTAAATAATTAGTTTTAAGTAAATAATATTTATCCAAATTATTAACTGAACTTTCAGTACAAGAACAGTATTGAAAATGATCTCTCTATTATTATAATTATAAGAATCTCTAAGAATGTTATTTAACGACGCTTTTCCTATGTTCAATCAGTGTCATATATTCGGAGACAATCCAATGTTAAGTACATTGACTACGAGGGAGGGATTATATGTTTTATATGTCTATATGATCAGAGTGGTAAGTGTAAGTTTTACGCTAACGCGGTCACTAGTGAGCGCGTTAAAAATTTGCATGGAGATATGTAGTTCTTGGTAGTTACCGCTAGAGGCGCTGTACCGGATTCCATACTAAAATCTTAACGCGCTCACGATCGACAGTGAACGTAAACGTCAAAAAAACTTACACTAAGCGCTCAGTCTAGATGTCTATATTGTCTTATATGATAAATAGCTAGCCCAGCATAGAAAAAATTGAATTAGTGATGCCATCCCTGAAGTGGTTTTCTTCAAGCCCTCCAAAAAAATCGGTCCAAACATTCATGTGAAATTTGCATACGAACGCGTTTTTGGTTAACTGTAAGCAATCGCGGCACCCATATTGCGGATAATTTTTTCATACATAATTCTTGAGTCAAAATGTAATGCGCCCGTTCTTTAGAGATGCCTACAGTATCAGCTATCTCAGTAAGTTTCAATCTTCGGTCAGCTAAAACTGCATCATGAATTTTGATCACAATTTCTGGAGTAGTTGCACTTTTTGGACGTCCTGGACGATGTTCATCTTGGGTGCTGGTACGGCCACGTTTAAATCCAGCCACCCAATTTTTTAGTCGCATAGGAAGGTCATCCATCCATCCTTCATCTCCGAAAAACTCCCTACATCTTTTAATCCTGTTAAATGCAAAAACTTTATCACAGCTCGTAGCTCAATTTTATCCATTTTGCAGAAAAAACAAAAGAATGCTTTATAAAATGTCAATATTTAAAAGAAAAACTATACGATCGATTTGAAATTTGGAAAACTGGCAACTAATGAACCAATGAGTAAAATATGGGTTGGGCTAACTATTTATCATCCCGCCTACGTAAATATAATTCTCCACTCTAATCTATAAAATAATTGCAATATTGTCTTATATATATATATTGTTGAACAGTTCTACTCGCAGATTACAAGATAACTCATTTAAGGTACGAAAATATAAAAGGTTATTATAAAATAATTCTGATCACTGATACACAGAGACTAATCGTTGTTGTCAAGTTGCACAATCAATTTTGAATTTAACTCTCAACAATTAAGATACAAAATCGATTAGAGATACGAATATAACCTAACGTGTTGTACATTGTAATGTCAATAGCCTAATTTGTGTAGTAATTTAGATTTAGTATCATACTTTGGACGACTATGAGGTTTCACTTTTTCAAAAATACCCGCTATAAGACTTGTAGGGTGTATAAACGAGTCATAGAAACCTAGTTTTCTCAAATTGCTACTGTATTGAATTGTTTTTAATTATGAGTAGGTGTGTATTTTTGTAACAGCCTATATATAAATACCTATTTAGTGCTACTGATTTTTTAAATATTTGATCTGTAATAAATTAATAATATATTAATAAATTTATCTAATTATTATTGAGCTTGTTTTATTTTTACCAAAGCAACGATCCCTTTCGAGAATATTGTCTACTGCAATTGTAGCTAAGTAATTTTTGTATACATCCTTTTATTATACTTTACGAAACAATCTTTTATAGATTAAAAGGTCGGTGATCAACATGTAAACTAGTACCGTTGTTTAAAAAGGTCCGTCTATACTAATTATATTAATAGTATAAATGTGAAAGTTTTTTGTTTGGATGTTTAGATGTTTGTCCGCCAATCATGCTAAAACTACTGAACGGATTTTGATGAAATTTGGTATACAGAAAGGGTATTAACTGTCTTAGATAATAGGATACTTTTTATCCCACTAAACATTTCCCTAGGGTCCACGCGGGCGAAGCCGCTGGCAAAAGCTAGTACTTATAAAGAGGAAAAAATATTATAATTTCAAACATCATTGTTGATTTGCATCAAATTGACTTTTTGAATAGGGTAGGTACAAAATTTCTGAATAATCGTATTAAATAAAAACACCATTGTCACATAACACATGTATATTAATTATTACAATATTTATCAGAAAAATCATATACTTTCGCTAATTGGGTAAAGGCCCTAATAAACAGATGCTCAGGGAGGTTTGATTACTGATTATTATTGTGACTTATGTACTGTAGTTCGTTTATAAATATACCTAGATAATATCTCCCGAACAACAGGCACATCGCACGAGTCACGGAAAACATTTGTGAAATAAATAATACTCTATTCCAGAATACCTGGGCATGTTATGGTACCTTTACCCTATCTATAAAACTATAAAAGAATATTATAAAAGAAACGGGTGGGAACTATAAAACTAATGGCAATGGAATAATATTACAATTATGAATTGCACAAAATTTTCAATGCTGTAAAACATAAATCGGCTGTGTCATTCGCAATATGCCAAAGTATTTGCCTATATTATTTATACAATAAATTTACAATTATTTTTGTATATAATTGTTAATTTAGTAAACATTATGAAACGATGGCTGGAAAATTACTTGGAACTGCTTAATTATTATAATATAAAAAAGAAATTATATCGAAAATGAATGACAAGTCGTATTCATAAATGGAATCAGAGCCCATTGTCATGTTCATAACTTACAGACAATATATAATTATATTTCATCTATTTCGCATTCACAATGCTATACTGGAAAAATCATTAAGAATAATTTCCAGTATAGCTTTGGGAATGCAAAGTTTTAAAAATATTCCTTTCGGCTGTTTGGGTGGATTGCCTGAACATCGATGAAAGGTCCTGGGTAGCTCAGTGGTTAGAGCAGTCGCCCGGTTTGTGAAAGGTGCGGGTCGATGAGATTCGACCCGCAAAGTGTATTTTTGTCCCTACAAAGTGTATTTTTTAGCATTTTTCATTAAGAATATTTTACAATATATATTATATTTCACTCTGTATATAATTAACGTAAAAAAGATAAAATAAATACATCTTTATATTAAAGTATTTTATATAAAGGCAAGAATCCTTTGTGTCTATGGTCAATGCAGGTAATCGAAAACTATCTTTTTCGTAATGGTTTTAGACCTTATAATAAAAGTCTATCATTTTTAGTGTTTATCTAACATAATTTAAAGATAAGTTAAAAGAGAATGTTTACAAAAAATAAACAATCTCATACCTAATTTATTCATGAGCAGAGGCAAAATAATTTAAATAAATAAAACATCATGTTAGACAACACTACATATATTGTTGCTCAGATCCCAAAGTAGCTGTGGGTGTGTGTACCACAGGTGGAGCCAGTGGTACCATCAATACCCAGACAATATAGAAAATTCATTTTATACATTGACCTAACCGGAAAAGAACCAGGGTCCTCTGATACTGCGTCCGTCACCTTGGACACCTGAGATTTCTGTAAGCTTCGCCACTTTGAACTCTGCGCGCACTGGCGACTCGTCTTCTGTTACCGCGCTTAAAGTTATGCGCACATGCATTTTTAGGCATCGTGAATACGTGGCTTTATTATTTTATTAACGTGCTCTTGTCACTTTTATGGAAGTCGCTCGTAGCCTAGGAATATTTGCGGTGGGGTGGGCGTGCACTGGATCGCGTGACAATACGGGTGTACACGATTTTTGAAATATATAAAAAAAAGTATCTTTCATATATTAATTTTAAATCTAAAAATAACGTGTTAAATTATTTGCTAAAAAGCTAACCTCTATCATGGCGTCGATGTGACATCACACGCTGTTTGCAGTCACGTGACGAGTATAAAATAAGTGCCTTTATATAATTAATTTAAATAATAATATAAATAAAATAAACATGATAGTGTGATAAACAGTAAAAGTCCTACGTGAAATACTAGCAGAAAAAAGTTATTAATGCATTTATTTTCGTTAACTGTCTACACTCGTATTACCTACTTATTTAGGAGACATCTATAGAAAGGATAAGAGCTTGATGATACAAATAATAAGTCATGGAGGAAAATCATCACCGTGCGTGCAAAGCTTAAAAGTGTAGCATTGGCGTTTATATGATACTATATCAGCATAAGAATTATTCGGACCCACAATAATCATTGCTATCGGTTGTTTCGTGTCAATTGAGCATTCTAAGTTTATACAATGTAATATACGTGAAATTTGTAATGATTTCAAGTTACATTACATTTAAGTCAAGTTAAGAAAGTTCAAGTCTGTCACTTAACTTTGATTATCCAAAGATAATGTTGTTTCACAATATCTTATTTTATTCTCTAGATACTACTGAGAAAATCGATATTTTCAATACATCGATATCGATATGAATAAACGAAACATCACAACATGAAAACCAACAAAACGTATCTGTAGAAAAAATAAACAGCGTATCACTAATCAGTCTTACATTTAGGCACCAAATATTTCACAGCTTTCACGATAAATGAAACATAGGTAGTAATTATGAAGAAACACACAAATCACAAAAACAAAGGGTCACATACTAATTCGGCACGCCTTATTTCCTTCAACTGGTAACATATGCCATGCCATTTAGTCGATTATGAAAAATTTAACAACTTATGATTTGAAAAATTATGTATTTTATTTTCAAAATACCTACATAAAAGATGGTCCAAGAGAACGATTCTTACTAGCTGTTGGATTAATTCTTTATCGATAATTTAATATAATAAATATCGGTATGATACAACTTTGGAATCCCTATATGTTATGCGTATCTATCACATACATATAGGTTATTTGTATCTAGTTCTTTTACAGAACATTACAGGTCAAAAGTAAGGTAACATATGTACATGCTTTTTCAGTTTGACTTTTATCATCAACCAAAAACCGTTTACCTAATTTGTAGAATTTAATGTTATTTATTTCCACAGGGTTTTCCTACAAATCATTTTTAATAGAAGTGAACATTTTATTATAGGAACCAGAAAGGAAAAAAAACAAATCAATACTACCTTGGATCTTAGCAGAACAATAAGCAACGCAATTGACATTGATGTAAGGAAAAGTGGTAGTTTATAATAATAGTTTATTGGGTGGTATTTTCTGAGTCACCATCGTGTCCTCACTACGCAAACCATTTATTTTTAAGTAAAAACAGTCCAAGAACTGATTTATAAAGTAGGCACAACGTTACCTTATAATTAAACTTACATATAGGTAAGTTATTTTATTATAAATAACACTTTTAAATACGTAATTCAAACTTAACTATCATATAAATACACTTAATTACTATGGCATACCTATATATAAGAACTGGAAACTGTACTGGAAACAAAATTATAAATATCATTCGGGTACATGAATGTTTTCCTGTATGTGTTCTGATCACACAACCGAAAATTAACCTTATGGATAACTCATTAAAGTACAAAACAGAATTACAACCTCGCACTTTCTCCGCCACCTGATGGCCTTTGCATTCTATTTATCTGTTATAAACAACAGTCTGAATTATTTAACAAAATTGTGGATAAGCAAATTGTTTTTACGTGCATGAGTTATTCGCCTAAAACTTATGTAGGACATTATAAATACATTTCACTGTTAAATTCCATTTAGGTATAAATAATAATAATCAATTCGAATTGACAGTGGCGTTAAGGGTGGCAAGGCCCCCAGCTGGAAGGAGCCCCAGTCAGAGGAGACTCCTTACTCCTGACATTTATTATTACGCAATTAGTAAAAAAGTAGAATTTCCGATGAATTTGCCACGTGCCTCGTTATAGTTACGCCACTACGAATTTGAATACTCGAAATGGGACTGTATCCCTAATTTTATTGTACATTACAGTTTTAAAGACTTTCGTGTGCAACCAATAAAATTAGAGACTTTTTGTTTGCTGTGATGTGTCATTTACTTATTTGAGCTTACGTTAAAACATCATTTTAGTAAATGTTGTCATTACTGTGGGCACAAATTGTAATTATCTGTGGCCGTCTCTTAAAGATATTACTTATCAAACTTGGGTCTACCATTTTTTTTAAAATATTTATTACATAACAATCATAACTGAAATCGTGATCGTCTTGTATACAATTATAATTTACACATTAAATTTTGTTTGAACGTAATTAGTATTTTTTTAAATCATGCATATTCAGCGTGGTTATACTTCGTATGCAATAAATTCAACTTATGTAGGCACCATCGAGATAGGTATTTCGTTTTTGTTTTCATTAAGGCAAACATTTATAAGATATATAGTCTTCACTATTTCTACAAGTACTCAGACCTTGAGATTATTTAATGATAGCTTGAACAAAACAGATATAACATCTGTGCTCACATGCAAACTTATTATCTGCAGCTTAATAAGATCATGTAACAGAGATGGCAAGGTCATTTTGGCGAAATACTTGACAAGATTAAGATGACAGATAAAAAGGCTTAAATAAGATTTTAAATTACAGGAAATTATAAATAATTTATCTAGACAATCACATTGAAATCGTTTTTATTAACATGGAGTATGAGTATCATGGAATAGAAATCCGTTGTGGTATGGCTCGTATACTAGACTTTCCGTTAACCGTGAGTTTAGTCGAGTTGGTCAGCTATTGCGCACACTGGGACAATTCAACAGTTGAGTTGAACTCGAGTGCGCAGACTAGCCGACCAACAGCAGGTCGGTCGATTACACTCGCTAGAGTTGGTGAAGAGATCAGTGGAATAGAAAGTTATTTAGAATTATATTTTATTATCCGACACTGAATCTCTGTACTGTGCGCACTTCCATACAATTGCCGACTAAACTATCGGCCGATAGTCTGTAGTCTGCGGAGACTTATTGGTTTTTCAATGCTTTCGTTCATAGATAATGAAGATCGGACCGTGGAAATCTAAATCACTATACTCAAGCGGGCTGATGAAGCAACATCAAAGTCAGCATTAAAACAATGTCGGTAAATATCAAACCGGTACGGAAGACAAAATAACAAGTTTTAGTGCTAAATTTAAGCTATAAGGAATCTTGCGACAAACACTCAGCAGTGACAGAAAGAGAGATCTTTTGAATAACATTTGTCATTTTGAAACTATATACATATTTATGAAATGGTTTTCCTAAATATCCAAAGGCAGCATGGCTGAACACTTCAATTGAGATTAAAAAAAAATACGTATATGTTTCGACAGCTCTATTGCCTCTATCGATCTAACATATAGAATATCAAAACTTTGGACGCACATGAACAAATATACACAACATATAAACAACTTTGTATCGGTCAAAATCAGACTGGTCAGTTTTATGCTTCTGACAAAGATTTTCTTAACAATATGACATAATTTTACTACATTCAATATTTATTTCAAAATTAAGTAATTGTGCATAATTACAAGGCACATAACTGCATTTATTAATGTTTTATTTGATTTTATGCAAAAACAGACCTAAATAATAATTCCAGGAAGCGTCCTTATACCATATTACATACTTTAGTTAGACGATTCAAAAGTGCAAAAAATTACAAATTATAAATTTAAAATGTCATACTGTAATGTTAGCCTTAAAAATCATCAAATTATGAATATATATAAATTAAATTAATATCGGTTTAATTTCTTCATTCATTCAAATGCTGTCAGGCATTTATTAAATCATTTTATGAACGCGGTAGATACTGTTCAATGTAATTAATTAACGTACCCTAGGTGGTGTTAGGAAGCAACAGTGTGAAACTCGCTAGTCAAAGGAAGCATCGTATGCCGTGTTACGACAGTCCCTGTCAACGCTGTCTGGTTTTTTGTTTTTCGAAAATTTGCATACTTGTTGCAAAATTCTTATACATATTACTGCTTACTTGTTCATAAAACCAACTAAAACCAACATCTAACACGGCGGCGTCAAGCGTGACATGAAAATATTTATTGAATAATCATGCCGGTCATTTCGGTACCGAAATGAGTCTGAACTGTCATTTTGGGAACACCCTCATCATTTCCGGGAACATCACAAATAAATCACTAATATTCATGATATAGTTAAATCCTGCAAAATTTAAGCAGATTAAATAACCTTTAAATATTTGTATTTATATTACTAATACACCACGTAGCGCAAGAATAATACATTTAGTGGAAATTTTGCTGCGGAATTTACACCAATTTGAACATTTATGGAGGGTAATTTAAAAAACAAGTATTGTCATTATAAAAATAAACAAAAGAACAACATTTTCCGATTTAGGAATAAGTTAATTATGATTTATTAAAGGTTATTCTTAAATACGTTGGTTATATTTTTATTACCTAAAAGAAAAATTGTGTGTTCCCGTAATGACTTCAGATTTGGCATTATATTTATTAACAGGTAGAATAGGCATAACGACTAATTTTTGTTTATTTGCCCGTCAGGTAGATTGTTGAAAGATATTAAACACGTATTTTTTTATTTTATTCGTAATCATTAAATTACGGTGGTACATTGAGTTAAAATGTCACGTGTCGTCATGCTATGGTTCATTTTCTACAAAACTGTGACATAACGAGCCCCCACTCCTCAACTTTAATGCCTGTTATCTAAGCTACTTCTTGTTAAATGGAAGTAAAAAAAATACGTATTTAATATTTTTCTATGTCAGATAGACTGACGGACTAAATAGAATATCTTGTTTTTTACCCAGTCGTCATCCTTATTACAAAAATTAGAAAATATTCATGAGAAATAGTACAACAGACTCTTCAAGTAAGTTTTCTTCAAAAATAAACTTATATTTTAGATATTTAAAAACCTAAAACACTCACCTCTCTGATTCTGACCAATATAAACAATTCTCCGAACCACATATGATTTGAAATTATTTTAATACACGTGATCACACTCGTGAGTGACACCCGCAAATATAGGGTAAAACTTAATTAGCATATAGAATTTTGCTTATGTGAAATTGTATGCTATATAATCTGCATGCATCATCGTAGGCTGCATTTAAATAAACGATCGCGATACGTCGTTGAGACAGATAGTTACTTAGGTTATTGTTTTCAATAAAAAATTGTCCCCTGCGTTACTTTAAACCTCAAATATTTAAATAGTTAATAAATAAATATCTTTCAATTCGCTAGCCTCTATGGCATATAAATAGGCACTTTGAACTGCACACATCAGTAGAAATATACACAAGATTGTTTGTTTATTAACTCTAGAACTTGTTTATGCATCCTATAGAGTGAGCACAATTGCCTCTTATCAGTGACACAAGGTTCATTGTCAATATAGTAGCATCCTTGGGTGGGTAACAAGTAGATCAGTTGATTAACGAATGCATAAGATAAAAAACATGTGACCCATAAATAAATATAATGAAGGTCAACCTGATTGATTGTAATAATTAATTTTCTTAATTTCTATAATATACTATTTTTACTTCTTATAAACAGGAACAGATATAGTCAGCAATTTGATTTCTAGGTCACCAGGATGTTTTACATTACTAATTAGTCATGAATTGCAAACCAAATAAAATTGGTTTGTTCTATAACATAAAATATAAATTTCAACAAACTTCTGTTAAGTTTACTGTTAAGCTTATATTTTAATTACATCACTTCATTAGTCAAAATTTTAAAAATAAAAGACTTTTTTTAAATAATACTGTAGTAACTTAGAAATCCAATTAGATGACAATATTTGCATATTATATTATAATTCAATTATATACCTATAAATGTTTCAAATAAGTCTAGAATATTGGCACTTCTTATCATAATTAGAAAAATGTAAATTTAAAAAAATAGCACAATACCTATGTATAAGGTAAAGTTTAGTCAAACTGGTTTTATGTTAAATATGCAAAAACATTGTCATCAATTCATTATCGCAAAATTTTCTGGAAATAGGTTTTCTATGAACCCACTCAAATTTTTTTGAAGAATCTACGTGACAGATTGAATCAATTATATTATTAGCATAAGAAATATTGTAGTTTTGTAAATTTTCAATTTTCGAGAAGTCTGTGTCAGAGAGTGGTACTTTACTTTAATGTGATTAATATAAATTCACTGGAATGTAAAAAGTTATATAAAGATAAAGAGATCAAACACCATAAGTATATGATTATACATAATCATAAAGATAACTGAATATTCACTCTTATTCGAGAGTAATTAAATGCACAAGCTGCTACATATGGACGGACAAATGTTTCATATGCAGCCAATTATTGTAATGCTTATGTTGATATATTTAAAGCTTGGCAATTGAATTAGAATCAGATCATTATTTTATCAAATTTCAGTCATCTGCTCTCATTGTTTCACTTACAGACTTTAATGGAAGTATTCTTAATCACCCAAAATCCCACAGAGTATGGCGGCATTGCAATATGGTTTCCATATTGTATACGGAGTGGTGGCATATCTGGCATTGAAGATTCATAGAACAATGGCCAACCATTTAATAACACAGTCTTTGTCCGTCTATTGTTTGAAGGAGCACTTATAATGTATTCATCAACTGATAAATTATCTCCATGTAAAGCAGTTCCATTCAAAAGGAATCTTGCTTTAGCCATCTCTAAGTTGACACCATAAACAGTAATTGCAGTGGTATCATTAGTGTAATTTCTGTTTGCACAATGTGCATACAATCTTTGGAAGCGGGAGCATTCACATTGTATCTGCAGTACTTTTCCTCCGACAAGCCTCTTGTACAGAACGCTCACCCACCAATCTGGTAATGGTTCAAAATTAGTATTTATTAAACTGTAATTTCCTCCATAGAAGCTTTGTCGAACTACAGTTGTTATGTTGTTTTTAGCAGACAGGCCAAGCTTGTCCACCCACAGGGGTGTAGCTGCATAAGAGTCTGATAGACCTGGAGCACCTCCGCCATATGAACTACTTGTTTCTGAAAGCCACATAGGTATATGGGAGTAATTTGCTGTATGTGTTTTCATAGTTTTAATTTGTTCTTCCAACAAATCAAAAGTATCAGGATTCCAGAAATCCTCTAATTTTGCAGTTCTACTATTTAAGTAATACTGATGCCAAGATCGTACATTAATATTATGTGAACCGTTACTTAGGAATTCAACCATATATTTAAGACATTCTGGACGTTTAGGTTGTGGCCTAGTAGTATCAGGACCTACAATTAATGAGTTATTATATCCTGTCTCATTCAACAGTTTACGAAGTTTTTTGAAATCACGAGCCAGCATTCGAGGAGTAACACTTATGTTGAAAACATGAGGGAATGAATTGGGTTCATTCCCAAGCTGCCAATCGATATCAAATTTATTTTGATTGGAAAACTTGATCAGTTCACGAGCGTTCCGTTCGTCCCACGCGTGGTGATCGCGAAGAAGCAGATTTAATGTGAACATAAGTTTTATGTTGGTACGTTTACAGAAGGTATTAATTTCTTTCCATTTATTTCCTGTGAGCAAGAAGAATGGTAAGATTTTATGCTTACATAGTTTTCTTAGTGCGGGGCATACGTGGTGGGTGTGGTTTGTTTCAGAACAGCGTTCGCAGGAGAGCGACGTAACAGGCTCCTCACTGAATATCAGGCGATCGGACATGGTTCCACCAAGGCGCATACGGGCCGGAGACAAAACCGATGCTAAATCCATAAACCTTTTATTCAGAAACGCCACTCTGTCGAAATTTTCCAGCTCCGATGCGTCGATACCGAAGCTAAGAAAGTTGTCTGGTAGCACAGTTGTTACAATCTGTTCCTCGTTTATAGTAACATAACATTTTTCATAGGCGTTGTATTTCACGAATAGAACTAACAAAGTCACGTTACAGCATAATATTATTGCACAAACAGCAATCAAACGTTTATTAGACAACATTTTTAATTATTCGAAGAACACGAACAACAATGAACAAGATACGTACGCTTTGACAGACATAGTCGCACAGACTATCTATTTTGAAGACTAGTACATGCTATGTATGTATGTAGATAAGCGGTGGTTAAATTAGCGTATATTGTGTTAATTAACACGCTTTTCTCTCTTAACGATTAACACTGCTAAGTAAGTATAAGCGAAGGCGCTAAGAATTCACGCGCCAACACGATTCACGCGTGAAATTCCAAAACGATTTAACGAACGAACGAAACAAGACCACGTCAGGCCGCGCAGTTAACGCGTGAACGCGATCGTTAGCAGATGTGTCATTGCTAATGCTTGGAGCACTCTAAGTAGGTAATTATTACGCGCGATTCTATCTCCTGTGTTATAACAAAGCTTACTAAGTTGATATTTTAAATAATTTATATTGTAAAAACCTATTCAATTCTATATTGTGATTAAATAATGTAAATTAAAAATATATGATAGCAAATCAACATAGTAGATTTTTGTACATAAAGTCAATGAACTTTTAATTTATATATGCCTATAATTGAATTAATATATGATAGCAAATCCACAAAATATACTCTTGTACATAAAATCAATGAACTTTTAATTTAAATATGCCTACAATTGAATTATAGACAGTCCTAAGCCTGAAAAGTATGAAGGGGAGTTTATCTTTTTTTTTTAATTGAGTAAGTACTGCTATAATTTATTTCGAACTATTTAGACTAAACAATAATAAGTAAATGTTTAATATATCACGTAATCTATTTAATATACAACATAAAATAATTAACGTGTTACAAGGTTTAGCGTGCTAATAAAATTTAGTTAAATAAAGTATTAAAAAAAAACAAAAGCACTAAAAGCACCTCCACTAGATGGCGACCCTAGCAAAAGTTGATTTTTGCAGGCAACGAATGGACCTAAAATAGTCATTTGCGTTCCTTTTATGTAACATATAAAAAAACTGAAATTTGCAAAATTCGAAACTTAGATATCAATACTAATACGAAAAAGTTCAAATAGACTATGAGTTGTTTATTGAGTTTTGAAAACTAATTTACTTTTATACAGGAAAGAAAACCAGAAGGGTTTTTATGGATAAATCGAGAAAGTACCGTAGCGAAATTTAGTTTGATTTCGGGAACTAATGTTTTTTTTAATACTTCCATGGCATGCACCCCATGCCATGTAAGGGAGTTAGACGGGTCCAATGATATTTCAACCTCATCATGTTTCTTATCAGACTCCGAATGATTACGCTGCCGTGACTCTAGCTTTTATAGAATAAGGGATGCATGCCCTCCACCCTATCTTCCAGAGCTCAAATTCTAGCATCCTGTGCTGATATTGGGGGCGGCGATTCTTCTCTACGTCTTCGTGCCGGAGGCTCTTCATGCTGGGAGCGGCTGCATGAAGTCGACGATGGTTGACTTCACTTCGTCCGGTTGGTCACCACGCTCCCAAACGACGACCTGACAGATTCGCATCAGCCTTAGATCTTGTATGTAAAAGAGGTCAGAGTGATTCAATTGCTTGCCTAAATAGTTCAGTGCGCAAGGCGGAATGGATGCTCAAATATCTTATGTCTAATAACACGATAGCCTTTCTCCGTTTGATGATCAGAGGACCAATTCTACTAAATAATTCCAGTTCTATTTCAGCTGGAATTGTATCGTATGTCACTTTGTAGAATAGGAAAACCATTAAAAACTGTAGTTTCGTGCGGTTCCGATCCGTTTTCGATTCGATTTAAACAAAATTTATTTAGTAGAATTGGCCCCCAGTTTAGCTCATCTTAGACAGCCTTGTATTTGAGATATATGATATAGTATTGAAACTAATACTTAATATAAATTTTGAAACTTCTCTTCAAATATTGCGAAAGTTTTGGCAATATCGTCTTACTGTTAATTCAACGCTGCCTATTGAATACTGAAAAGATCATTCTTTAGCACTATAATTTCTTATTTAAAAAAAGTAATGGTTCATTAGGATTATTTCGGAGAGCCCGTGTGTCGTCGAGTTTTTTGTTTCCTAGCTTTTGTCGAATGTTTCAAATCAGTTGGTGGTCAATTTCAAACACTTCAGCTGCATCGTAACTTCTGAAATTCCGAACTTGTTCCAATTTGTATAAAAGTACCGATGTTTTTTCTTATTGACTAGCTTTTGCCCACGACTTCGACCGCGTGGTAAAGTTACTTTGAGCAGCATTTCTAACGAATATTTATTTATTCGTTCCATTAGGTACTGATATGTTCAAACTAATACGTTTACATCCTCCATTTTCCCTTATTTTATCCCTACGGGGGTTGAATTTATCAAATTCCTGTTTAAGCGGACGTCTTTATCATAGTAGCTCCAATCTTTAATTTCTACCTACGTCATAGTAGCTTTATTCATGCAAAGTCGCAGCTCGATCGACTTAAAATTGACTAAGTTTCATACAAACTTTCATCCCCTATTTTACCCCCTTGAGGGTAGAATTGATCAAAATCCTTTCTTAGCGGATGCCTACGTCATAACATGTACCTGCATGCCAAATTTCAGCCCGATCCGTCCAGTGGTTTGGGCTGTGCGTTGATAGATCACTATGTCAGTTAGTCACCTTTGAGTTATATATACCTATTTAGACTAAGTTTTAACTACAACTTTGACCAAAAGAAAAAAAGTGCCCGTCCTTTTAAAGCTACCCTACATTATGCAGGACACTAGATATAGATTGCAACCGCTGCTTAAAGTCGCGTGCTATAGAGGCGTATAATCCAGAGGGTTGGTTTAATGCGTCGGGATGTGTGGGACTCTCCTCCGTCACCAAAGAACTACCCACCAAAATTCCTACGTTATATCCTCTGCTGGGGAATGAAAACGTGCGACTGCCTATCTAGCCTTGATTCTAAGATACCACATCTTTACAATGTTATGAAATGAAGATATTTTTTAACTTTTTTTAACGTTTCAGTACATAACAAAGTAGTAAAATAAAGCTAAATATCGTCATTATAACGATAAGATGTATCCTATGGCTAGAATACGCTCTAGAAAGTTTGGCGGTCGTTCTGCAGTAATGTGACCCAGATATTAGCATGATTGAGATGATGACGAAAATGAAAATGCTTATAGATATAAATATGTTTTATTTCTTTAAATACGGTGGACTGGACAAAACAATATTGTTAATAATGTTATACATATGTACCTAGACATGTGGTTCATCTGAAACATCTGTAAGTAGCAAAATGCATTATTTCCATTATGATTTAAACACTGACATACAGATATAAGTTAATATGTCGTACACAACTAACTATAATATTAATTACACAGTAAATAATGTACTTACTATAGCAAGTAATTTAGAAAAAATCTACACCTTTTGGTCACGTTTATTATAAAATTGTTCCTAATAGTAATTATAAAACAGGACAGTAACTATGTCTTTATCTTATTGATCCTATTATTAAATTTACAATGGCTAAAAGTTCTGATCATTGATATGTTTCAAAGTAGTTATATGTGGTTATTCCCTGCCTGTTAGAGCAATTGACAAGTACCTTAGCTACTTGGTACAGAGCACCGTTCGTACCTAACATTTATAAATTAATTTATGCTCAAAGTTCATTATTACTAGCTAAATTTCATTGTTATATTTATTATGTACCTAAGTATACTTAACAAATTCATAGATATAGCAACAACACAGGTAAAATAAGTACAAAATACAACAAAAATGACTCACATACTATTATTTGTTAGAGCGAGAGAGGCAGAGTGGGCCTGATTAAGAGATATATAGAAACTAATGTTCCTATATTTTGAAATCTTTCCACTGTGAGATGCAACGCAAACATTACAATGTATTTATTATACAGAATTTAATGCAGATACTGCATAAATATTTGGGTATTCTTTTATAAGAAGTATTTATTAAAATTGTCAGTTAAATGCGCTAATATCTGGTGATCCGTTTACAGGGAAGTGTATATCTTCACCCACTAAAGCTTTCAGGCAATATCAACGTGGTTTCAGCATCGTCTAAAGACGTTACAAAAATTATTACAGTGAGTATTTTTGGAAGCACAATTACTGATCTTTTTACAAAAAAAAAATATTAGATAAATCTGGTCACACGTGGTTCAATTATAAAAGCTTATTATTTCAACCATCGTTCTTGTAGATATTTCGGGTAGTAAAATAAAATGAGCATTATGTAAGATGTAATCTATAGTATATTCGTAGACTGTCTAGGACCATAGGCTTAATTCTAAGTCTGTATCATTTCTGGATTAAAAAATGAAAATACAACCGAGAGTACTCATACCTAGTCTAGGATCATAGACTTAATTCTAAGTCTGTAGTCTAGAGCTGGCTATTGAAGGAGAATGATTAAAAATGGCGTAGGTATGCTTTAGTGAACGTAATATTGAATTTAGAATAAATTTAAACAAATTGCATTGAATTTTTTTTCTTAAATTACAATGAGCAGGTACTTTGAGCTTGGGTGCCACCGACAATATTCAGTTCGTTCGCGTTGCATCTCTATTGTACCACTGCGCTTGTGGTTATTATTTACAGCTCGTCGTGTTTCGGGCCGGAGAACTCCTCGTGGCTTATAAAGCCGTTCTTGTCTTTGTCCTCGTGTTGGAAGATCTCTTCGACGAGTTTGTCGTGGCTCTCTATCATCTGCTTTATTTCATCGCTCATCTCACCGCCCTCTGGGGGCACCATCTGTTTCTTGAGGTATTCGCTCACCTGTAGACAAAGAGTAAAAGGGGTGAGTAACGGTTTTTTTATGACCAAGGTCTTCAATCGATTAACGATTTATGTGTTATTGTATTAGTTAAAAAGAAATATGTATGAATTAAGACAACGTTTTGTTCATCATGCATTTTACTCCATACTTTGCTTTAGCAATTCACATGCAATTAGCTCAACTATTTTAGTCTAAATGGTTTATCTCTACATAAAAGCAATTTATATCAATCCTTTCACATTGACCACTGCATCTATTGACGATAAATGTACTCCGCCATTATCAAGTTTGAAACAGTGTTTAAATCTGTCCGCATCTAGAATTTATCATAGCAATTCTGCAATACATTGAATCATATTAGAATATCCAAACTACATAATATTTTCGCTATTGTTGCATCGGCACTAACGGCGGACGCCGAAAATTACGAAATTGATATAGAAATGTTTATAATGCTATTTCAAAATAGGCCTATTATGGGACAAATTTCAGGCGAACTATTTAGATAGGAAATAAAAAACGAGGTTTTAGGAAGAAATATACATTGAATTATATTAAACAAATTAAAATTGTTCTCTAGTTAATTTTCAGGGTCCTGTACTCAAAGGGTAATACGGGAGCCCTATTATTAAGGCTTCGCTGGCTGTCACCAGTCTGTATTTCATGAACCGTGAAAGTTAGACAGTTGAAATTATCACAAATACTAAAAACCATACAATAAATTTGATATTTTTGCTCGTTTTCGGAACGGAACTTTACGTGCGCGAGTCCGACTCGCAATTGGTCGGTTTTTTTGACGTTCGTCTCCACCGGGAGCTTTATAAAGCTAAATTTTAATCGCAGTTCAAAAAACGTTCGCGAGAATAAAGTTCACGTGATTAAAAATCGCGATGAGGACAATCCCTTAAAGTAAAACGTACATAAACGCTTTTACTTTGAAAAAGAAAACATAAAATGTTCTATAGTACAACCCACACATATGTATGGGTAGTGCATTGTTTTATTTGATAGTGCATCATCATCAGCCCTTTTTACGTATTATTATTATTATTTGATCTTTTGACCTACACTTGTTTAGTTATTATATAATTACCAATTTTTCCTTAATTTCTTTGAAGTTCTGTAATTTTTCTACTCACAGGAAAAGCAATCAAATATTCTAACACAAGAAAATTGATAATCTAAAAGTATATCTTCGTGAAAAATCGTTCAAGTTTATATATTACAGAAAACCACCATGCAGCTCCATGTCACAACACCATGCATCTCTCATTGTAATGTGATGTCTACACAGGTAGCTCAAATAAGATAGGTAGTTGTTATTTGCTAAATGGCCTGTGTTAAGCGTAAATTACTTATTATTATTTTGGATTAAATACTAATTAATATGTACATGCATAACTGATATTTTTCTACACGCATATTTAGAAAGTTCTACGAGTATACACCATAGAAATTTTAAATTAGATATGAGCTATAGCAATAACAGACATGCATTATAGTTTTTAATCACGGTTTCATTCAACACCTCTCTAATATATTCTCTTTATTTTGAATTCGATGGAATTATTTTATAGAAATTGACATAGTGTTAAGAATGTATGGAATTTAATTTATTTATGCCCTTTTTTCTAAATTAAAACTTGACTAAAAAGGCGAAACATTTTTTTCATATACGTAGATAAAAAAAGGAAATTTGAAAATTAAAGTTCAACTAAATTTATATAAAAAAAAAATTCTTCTAAATAATATCAATTCGGTACATTAGTATAATATCTCTTGTCAAACGAAACAAATGAAACCGTGACATTCTAAAGTGAATTAGGATACGAAGACTATACAGCTAAGGTTAAAATTAAAACTACAGAAATTGAAAATGCATTCTTATAAAAAGAATAACTTTGACGCCTCTTGTATAATTTAATTTGCACCAAATGCAGCAAAGGCGTCACAGGTATACAGCCACCACGTCCCACCACCGACGATGGGACTGTAAACTAACCTCCTCGCGGGATAACTCTTTATCGCCGTCGACGTCCATGGCTTGAAACGCTAACTCTATACTCACTTCTTCGCGGGACAGCATGTTGTCTTTGTCTGCATCAATTTCTTTGAACACGTTGGTGGTTGGTGGCGAGTCACCGATGTTGATGAGTTCGACGTCGAAATGGAGGGTCGCGTGTGCTGGGATCACGTTACCGGCCCCTCGCTCACCGTACCCAAGAGATGAAGGAATGGTCAATTTCCGTTTCTCACCTGGAATATTCGTTTTGAAAATAAATTTCAAGTTGTTCAGAAAAAAATGTGATTTTTATTATAATCAGTCAAAGTCTATGTGGAAGTTGCAACATTAATTAAGTCCATAAGTCTACAAACACATAATTTCCCTGCCCTAATCATTTAAAAATGTTTATAAGGAAACGAAGATAACACTTCGTCTTATATATAAGAAGATGAAATAAAATTAACTAAAAGACGAAATATTTAATAAAAGTAAATCACACAACATCAGACAAGTAATATCCCCTCTGAATTAGTAGGTACACAACGGCTTAACGTGCCTTCCGCAGTACGGAGGAGTTCGAGACACTAATTTTGGTCGCCCAACCTGCAGGTCAATTTTGCTAATGAATTTTACCTACTTGTATTTTGTCATTGCATTATAGGTATACCTGAAATCCAATTGTATTATGTATCTGTTACCATTGATGCGTTAGGAAGACATTTCACTAATTGTAAGACATTGCACGAACGCATTAACCACTATGCCATCCAGCTATCCGAAATAATTGTTACTGCGGAGCACAAAACTTGATAAAGATTATTTGCTTACATTATGAAGAGAAAAATACTAACAGCAAACACTCAATCAATTGGTTAGAGCAGTCGCCCAGATTGCAAAACTTTTTTGGTTTGACTTCTCGGGCACCTGAGACAGGTAAATTATTATAGTTATATGCTTCGCCATTGTTTGATTCAGTGATCAATTAAGATTATATTTATTTTATACATCTGTCTTACCTCTAAAACATAACTTAGAAATTTATATTAATGGGTATTAATTGATCATATTTGGTGGATCTTTATACGGGCAATATCATCTACGTTCTACTAAATATTTAGGGACCTAAACTGAGTCATCCTAAATATAGCGTAGAACACGTAGAGCACGTTTCATAAACAAGCCAGAGACAATCTAGACGACACTATCATAAATTGCTCCGTTATTATTATAATCTAGGAACAAAGTTATTATCGAATAGAATAGTAATAGTTTCTTGTATTTAAAAATTCCACCCCGAAGGAGATAAATTAGGGGATGAAAGTTTGTATGCAACTTCAAATTTTGCATGCGGGTTCTTTTTAGGACGTAGGTGCTCACTAAGACGGAATTTTACGAAATTCGAGCCTAAGATCAAGGGTAAGATCGTAGATGAAATTTTTTATGGAATTTTCTCATTTTTGGACTTAAAACTAGACCGTGCGGGCGAATACACAGGCAAAAGCTAGTCTCATATATACTTTATTTGCTTTAATCTCCGCAAATACTGATCTGATCAAAAAAATCCTTTCACCTACGGGAAGCTACATCATACACAAATGACATAGACCACAATTCATTGTAAAATAAGTAATAAATATAAGTACTATAGATATAAGTGAGTTTTCAGTGCCAATTTCATTTTTTTTTTATTTTAAAATTTTGTCCTTGCGATTCAATAGTGCAGTGGTTAGCGCGTTTGGTTTGCGATACGGAGGTTGGAAAACATTCGTTAGGGCCGCTCATAAGACGAGCTTAAGATTATAAAGTTTTTATTATTTTAAGCTCGTCGTACTGCTGAATGCATCTTAAGCTGTTATTTCCGGCCGTATGTATAGTCTTGAACACACAACTAACAATGGGCCCATAGGAAAGCCATCCCCATCAGTCGGTGTGATTATTAACCTAAACATTTGTTATTTTTTTCTACTTACCGACACACATGTCGAGTAAACCTTGATCCCAACCCTTGATCACTTGACCCACGCCAATCTGGAAGGTGAATGGCTGGTCTCGATCGTAACTGTAACAATAAAGAGAACTCAATCAGATTTGGTTTTTCTCCGAGCATTGAAAACATTTGAACTTGACTATGAACTTATATAACTGTTAATTTTAGTAGTTTGACTAATTTTAGTAGTAGACTTGGGAAGCGCACGATCTTCATATTTCATCACCAGCCCTTTTACGTCTCCACTGCAGTTGCTCAGGCCTTCCTTATGGATAGTTAAGCTTAAGGAGGATGGGCCATGACCCTCCACGCTGGCCCAATGCGGATTGGAGGGTATTAACGACTGCAAATGCAGCCGGGACCAACGGCTTGACGTGCCTTCCGAAGCACGGAGTAGTTCGAGATAATCATTTTTTTTGTCACCCATCCCGTGACCGACCATTACGAAAGTTGCTTAACGACTACGATCGCGGGCCACGGCGCTTATCCACTACGCCACCGAGCTACTCTTCATATTTAGTAATTATAAAACTTGGCTAAGTAAATGTGTACAAGGATGGAATGGAAAACGCCTTCTTTTTTAATTGACAATAACACTTATATTAACCTATGACAGTGCTGTTAAAACAACAATATCGATGTACAACAAACCAACTGCCGTTCGTATGCGATATTGTGAACATAATATTTAACGAGGTACATACGATGCGTTCCATATATTTGGGCGGTGTGACCGTCCCATCTGATAAACGCGCGGGAGCAACACTATTACTGTAGGCCTTTGTTCGAAGCCCGTTTCGGACAGCAATTACCGTATAACGCAAAGTAACACTAGTGCAATAAGTGTAAGCGTTTATAAATGGAACGCATTCTTCGAATTTTCAAATTATTGAGCTCCATAAAGTGATTTAATCACAAATTGTCGGAATATAATTCTCATCATATATATATGCAACAATAATATAATATTAGTTTTATTATATGATAAAAATCCGAACTTTTTTCTGTACCTATTACTATGTGGGTATTATGGAAATATGGGACGTATTACATTAGCCCAGTGTCACTTTATCCTATTACTCTGTGTAACTAATTAATTGATCGAATAAAATGCAGGAAATTATAAAATATAATTATTAAATCTTTCTGCATAGCGTCGATTACGAGAAACGAACAATTAACTTTCAAGTGGAAATAGTGTTTCAGAAATATCGATACTCTAATATCGAAACTATCTTTCGATATATGCATGCAGAAAACTTAATTTTTAAATACGAACGAACAGACGTCTTTTTTTAAATCAGTATCATAACTAAGACTTTACTATATCCTATATGTAATAGCGTATACACGCCAGCGGGTCTTAACACACACAGTAAAATCGAAAGATAAATAAGCAATAGAATCATCTGTTGCTAGAATGAAATAATCATTTTTTGTTATATAATTGCGAGATAAAACTATGTATAAAAGCGACAATGAAACTAGGACATTGCCCGTTTCATTTACTTTTATATTGTCATTATTGAACTCTAGTAACGTATCTAAGTGTTATACGCCATTAGTTTTAGGTGCAGGTACATATATTTTCGTTTTAAATATCTCCGGTAAAATTCATTCAAACGGAATTAACCTACGTACGCATTGATGTGTAAATTATAATGATATCGACACCATGCAGTACATCACTAATAGGATGCAGCGGCGCATCATTGCGTCACTATTGTGAAATCGCCAGCGCCGGGTCAAACGTTGCTATTGGCATGCAGATTGTCCTTACACAACTAAGTGGAAAGTTCTGTACACACACAAAGTTAGAAACGCATTGGTCACGGTGAAAATAGGAGCCGTTTGTTTTAACCATCGGTACTTTCATAAGTAGATAATAAATACTCTGAGATGGGACGAGACGTATACCTGGGACTGGTGATTTTTTTAAGAATGTCTCTTTAAGAATATTTCCCAGTATAGCGTTGTGGATGCAAATATTGATCAAATATAAATAAGTAGGTATATTGACCAAAAACGGTCATCGACCTCCCTTACAACATCGACGTTTTTATAAACGCATGTTACATTTTTTTTTCTCCGATATTAGTGATATTCCGCTATAAGAAAAGAGAAAGCGAAGACACATTTTATAGAGAAGTAATTAATATACATTTAGAATGAATGAATGGATGATTAAAAACGATTTGTAATAATAATAAATATAAGAATATAATCATTTATTTTTAAATTATAACACTAGCGAAATTGAAAATTTATAATTACGTATTATTTATTTTTTATAAATTACAATAATCTATTATTGTTGTGCCCGACAGGGTCCATAGTGAGACTAACTTAATTATGTAACATTATTTCAAATGACCTATGGAAACAATAAACTTATTGAGTATTGAAAGAAAAAAGTAAGTATAATTTTTTCGAAGATAATCTTAAATTTTTTGCAACAATTACATATACGAGTATATTACTTTTTAGTTTATAAAAGATTTAAAGCCCGCCTCCGTATTTGTGGATCCATATCCGCATAGCTTTTAATTTGCCAGAAAACTTAAAACTATATCTATCACTTGCCCGTGGCAAATTCATCGAGTATTTTTATTTTTTTTACTAATTGCGTAATAATAAATGTCAGGAGTAAGTCTTCTCTGACCGGGGGCCCTTATGCCATTGATGACATTTTGCCGACTTGCTGCCCTGTAGTTACACCACTGTCCATTCCTGTTATTTTTACCGGATTCTTTAATCTATAATACTAATTATTTAAATGAGGGATTTTTTAAATAGTTCTCAGTGAAAAAGTTTTAACGTACTTATCTAAATAGGTATATCTATTATTGAGATTTCCACACAAATTTTCTCCAATGAAAACAAGCTTTTAATATTGTCTCCTAAAAGTAGTTACTGTACCTTTGTCGTTTAGATTGCCTTAAACTTTATTACAACTTTACTTGATAAAAGTATGCCCCAAATCGTTGTTGACAACTAAGGTATTTGGTTTAAAAAACAGTCTCTAACTCGACGTCAAGCACAGCGCTGTCACAGCATAGAGTATAAAAGAAATAAGACTTTTATTACCTTTTGAAGCAGGTTTACAGAATACAACGCTGTTTTTTTTAACGAAATAGCACTGCAGAAACCTGTGAGAGCTTCCTCTTTGAACCGCCAGACTAATTCGTTGGGCCAGATACAAACAAACCGTTATTCAGTTCAATACTCTAACAACTTTATCGAGTAAAAGTAATTACTTATTAAATTATAATCAAATATTTTTAATAATAAACAAAAATTTGAATGAATTAAGAACTGTTAACAGTAAGAATTATTAGCTATTATCAGTTCTTATATCATTGAAATTCTAGTGTTTATAGTTATTTTTTTTTATTAAGTTATGATATGACATTTTCTCAAATAATAGGCTTGTGTCCTGCGGAAAATATGAACCATTTTGACTTATAAACATTTGACAAATAAATTTTATGACACTTATTAGAAAAATAATACACTTTGAAAACTTGAAACAGTAGGGAAAATATATTGCAAAAAATTGCTAAAATACATATGCCATTAAATTAGTTATATAAAACGTAACAACTATCATTATAACAGCTACATAAATACACGTACAAATAACAAAGATATTAGAAGAATTGCCCAGACGCCCGTACCTTTACGCTACACCGTGTGACGTCACTTAGCGCCTTAATTTGTAGGGAGCGTTTTCGGCCGACTAGCAGCCGTTCCACAAACAGTGTGTACGAAACTATTACAGACATGCTGTTACTTCCGCATTACTTCTCTGATAATATATCTATTTATTTATAAAATAAAGTAAGAGTTGTCTACTAGCCTATTACTTCCCTCGACTATAGATACGAGTGTTATTGTTTATAAATACTACGAGGGTCAAACTGAAAGTTCTTAGAAAAATCAAAAACTGATTACATTAGCCAGTTATTAGTTTTATTATATCTTTTCAAAATATTGTCCATTCACGTCAATACACCGCTGCATGCGATGGAACCACTGGGAAAAGCACTTTGCCCACTCGTCCTTAGGGGTCTCTTCAATGGCATCGCGATACGCAGCCACCGCTTCTTCAGCATTCATAAACCGCTTTCCTTTAAGTTTTTCTTTAATTTTTGGAAATAAATAAAAATCACAAGGCGCGAGGTCGGGGCTATACGGCGGGTGACCCAGTAATTCAACGTTTGATGTCGCCAAATAGTCGATCGTTCGCTTGGCGGTGTGCGACGAGGCGTTGTCGTGGTGAAGGAGGATCCTACTGCGAGGTCGTTTCTCTCGAACTTTTTCCAAGACAAGTGGCAAACAATTGGTAGTGTACCATTCTGCAGAAACTGTTTTTTGATCCTCTAACACAATTGTTGCAAAATGACCTATCCTTCCAAAGAACGAGGCCACCATTTTTTTTCCCGCACTTCGATCTCTCTTCACTTTAGTTGGCAACTCCTCGAAAGGAAACACCCACTGAGCAGATTGTCTTTTGGTTTTAGGATCATAACAGTAAATCCAGCTTTCGTCACCTGTTAGTATGTCGAACACAGCATTTGAGTCACCTCCGTTAAATCTTTCAATCATTTTACGACACCAATCCACACGATGGAGTTTTTGAGCCTCAGTCAAATTATGAGGTATCCACCGGGGCGCAAAGCTTCCTGACCGCTAAATGTTCCTGGAGGATTTTGTGCACTTGACTCATACCGATGCCTAAGCTTGTCCGAATCTGTTGATAGGTCACTCTTTTGTCAGTCTCTATCATACGCCGCACAACACAGATGTTATCTTCAGTCGTCGCCGTAGAAGGCCGTCCCTCACGTAAATCATCAGTGAGATTAGTGCGACCACGTTTAAACTCATTAAACCAGTTGTAAACAGTCGCACGAGATGGGGCTTCATCGTGAAAGGCCAATCGTAGTCTATCATAACTTTCTTGTTGACTTAAATGACATCGAAAGTCATAAAAAATCATTGCACGAAAATTTTCTCGTGTTAAATTCATGATGACGTGACACAGACAATTTTCAATTTGCCGCCAAATCGTA